AGAACATAAATACATCATAAAAGACAACTGAAATTTATATAGCACTTCAAAGTTGACAAAGTATTTTACATGTGTGATCTCATTTGATTCTCACAACAACATGCAGGTATACTTCAGCCACTAACTGATTCTCTCCCTTTTACAAGTCAGTAGAAAAATAATACTAAGAGAGTTTAAGTAATTTGCCTATGGGGTAAGGAGGAGGACAAAAGCATTTCTTACGCACCTTCTGTGGGTCAAGCACTATGCTTAGTGCTTTACAAATATTATCTCATTTGATCATACTATGGGCATACAGCACAATGAGACAGGATCTGAATCCAAGGGTTCCTGAATTCCTGCAAATTGAGAAAAGTATAGTCCTTGGAGTCTGGAATATGGGCTCAACTGGTGCCTTTAGCATTTACTATAGGCAGCTCTGTGTGAGCCTTAGTTTTTTCATTTGTAAAATGAAGAGTGTTGTGCTTAATGACTGTCCGTTCCACCTCTGTCTTTAATTCTAGAAATCCAAGTCCAGGGCACTATCCAATAAACTATGTGGTGTCTTAAATGTAAAGAGTTTTGTTTTGTCTTGCAGGTCAACTAGAATTTTTTAAGTGGCTACCATGTGCCAGGGGGCAGGTAGGTGGCTCAAAGGATAGAGTGCTGGGCCTGGAGCCAGGAAGACTCATCTTAATGAGTTCAAATCTGGCTTCTGACACTTATGAGCTGTGTGACCCTGGGCAAGTCACTTAACCCTGTTTGTTTCAGTTCCTCCTCTGTAAAATAAAGTGGAGAATGACATAGCAAGGCACTCCATTATCTTTGCCAAGAAAACCCCAAATGGGATCACAAAGAGTCAGATGTGATTGAAATGACTGAGTGACAACAACTATGTGCCAGGCTAAGTACCAGGGATTCAGAGAAAGTCAAAGACAGGGCGAGACAATATGCAAAGCAAGATATATACGGTATGAATTGGAGATAATCTCAGAATGAAGTAGCACCAAAGGGAGCCAGGATAAGCTTCTTAAAGGAGAGGGGATTTTAAGTTGAAATTTTAAATTGAAGGAGTCAGGTAGCCAAAATAAGGAGGAAGAGAATTCCAGGCATAAGAAGAGCTGAGCAGATGGCATTCAATCAAAAAGCCTACCACTGGTTGAAGCCTTCTTTCATCCCAAATCATCTTTCTTTTTCCCATTTAGCTCCTTAACACCTTTCTTCCCCTTTTTATTCTCCACCTACATACTACAATTTCAGACTTTGACTCTTAGGAAGAACAAGCCAACAGTTGACTTTTCCCTTGGTCCTCCTAGAGACAGATGGAAAACCTGCTCATGAATTAATTGTTCATCTGTAAGAGTTCTCCATCAATTAACTCTTTTTCTTCCTACTAAAAGTCACCTTAAAAACCCATTGCCATGTTTAGGATTCATCTATTGAGAGAGAGAGAGAGAGAGAATAGCAATACTCTAATTTAAAAAATTGTCATTAGTAAAAATTCTAATTTAGAATCCTCACATCCATCTGTAAAGAGAGAAGGAAAGCAGCTTCTATATTCTCTGAAGTACTGTAGGCAGCTGAAAGGTGACATGAATTATTATGTCCAATTAAGGATACAGTGGAATGGTAGAATGGAAACATTAGTCCTTGCTACCAAGAGAAGAACTGCAACATTTTAAAAGCTCATTTTATACTTTGTGTCATTTTCCCCTACTAGAAGTTATCTTCTGTAAAAATTCCTCTGTAAAAACATAAATCCAGGTAAGCATAATCACATGCATGCTCTAAAATTCTATAATCTCTCAATTTAAAAATGAAAAATCTATGAAGAGAGAAAGAGAGAGACATCTAAGAGTTTGTTGGATAATAAAGTAATTAGGATAATATGATATTATAGTAATTATGATAATATTTAATTCAGTAAACATTAAATAATCCTCAGTGACTCCAAGAGATAAATAACATAATAAATATCATTCCCACTTTACAGGCATGGAACAGAAGTTACTTATGCAGGACACTGCCCTTCCCTCTCCCCAGGAGAGTAGAATTGCTTGACTTTAGAATAGTTTACAGAAAGAGAGCATAAGTTCTCTTTCCCTATAAAATCTTTAAGAATTAAATACTCTGTATCCCAAAAAAAGTTAAAGAGAGAGGGAAGGCTTTATTTTTTGCAAAAATATCCATAATATAGCTTTTTAGATTAATCCCCCCAAAATGGAAGCAAAGAGAATGTCCATTGATTGGAATATATGAACCAACTGTGGCATATAAATTCAATAAATAGCTCTGTGAATTGAGAAATGACAAATATAAATAACTCAGAGAAATACATGAAGATTTGTCAGAACCAATCCAGAGTAAAATAAGTAGACTGAAAAGGAAAACAACAACAATGACTATAACATGTCAATGAAAAAGCACAGTAAAAAGAAAAGGAACTCTGGATAGTAGTAATAATCAATCTTGGTCTCAGAAAACAAACAGTAAAGCACCTCCCTCTTCTTGTCAGAACAGTAAGAAATTGTATGGAGAGAATGTTGGTGGAGTACCTGTATCTAAGAATGTAAAAACAAAACACATCACTAAAATTTGAGAGAGAGAGAGAGAGAGAGAGAGAGAGAGAGAGAGAGAGAGAGAGAGAGAGAGGGAGAGAGAGAAAATTAGATCCTCTTCTGTCTAAAGCAGTCTAGAGAACAGTATCTGAGGCTATGATTCTAAAATTCAGTCTGTGCTCAGAATTTGAGATTATTATTTGTTTGGTTTTCTCCCATTAAAATCTATAATGAAATGCCCATAATCAGCCTATGAGAATTTCTATCCCTATTTTATCCTCTCTCTTTTACATCACCCGCCACTGGTGGCCTATATCGCTGCTAGTCAAGGAGCTTTGCTGAATGACTTCAGGTATTTAACTGCTGGAGGATGGTAACTCATGAGCCAGTACTAGGCCCTTGCATTGCATTTCAGGTGGACTTTTTGGCATGGTGTTAAAAGGGAGGAAGGTATTTTCATGAAGGAAGGAAGGAAGGAAGGAAGGAACGAAGGAACGAAGGAACGAAGGAACGAAGGAACGAAGGAACGAAGGAACGAAGGAAAGGTTTAATTGTCCTTAAACAACTGGACAAGCATAAAGCCTAGGACAAGTGCATGTGGCAATGGGTAGAGTTGGATCACTAAGTCTAAATTTAAAGTAGCCAGCAGTAAACTGGAGGTTATAGAATATCATGGATCCAATTTCTATTGTAACATCTTTAGGATCTCTGACCAAGAAGGTCAAGCTTGGCTTGACTCATCTCTTCCTCTGGAACCACCTGCCACCCATAAAGTTGTTTCAGCTAAAGTTACAGTTTCATGAATTATTAAGTTGGAGGAACGACCGTATTTTCTTCTTTTCTTCTTTCCTTCCACTTAGCTCCAATGGGTGATTGTGGTGTCAGAGTAAGTCAATCAATAAGCATTGTAATGAGGGAGACAACGTGCAAACAAATATGAACACACAAGCTATATGGAGAAAATGGAAGGTAATCTCAGAGGGAAGGTATTTGCATTGGGGTGGGAGGAGAGGACCAGGAAAGGTCTCCAGCAAAAGGCTAGATTTGAAACAAAAGATACTCCAACAGATGGAGGTGAGGAAAGAATGAATTATAGTCAAGGGGGACAGCCAGTGAAAATGAATAGAGTTGGGAGATGAGGTGTTTGTGGGAAGAATAGGAAAAAAAGAGGCTGCTGTTCCTGGATTGTGTAATATGTGAAGTTGAGTAAAGTATGAGACTAGAAAGAATAGAAAAGGCAGGTTTGTGCAGGATTCAAGAATATTTCATATTTGATCTTGGATTTAATAAGGAATCACTGGAGTTTATGCAGGGGACGGAGTGACATGTTTAGACCTGTAGTTTAGGAAAATCGCTTTGGCAGGTGATTGGACAAAGTTAGTCTGGGGTTATATAGGAGAAGGGAATACACTTTTACTAAGCACTGTCTACATGGTGGGCATTGTGCAAAGAGCTTTACAAATACTATCTCATTTGATTCTAACAACAACCCTGGGAGTTAGGTGCTATTAGGATACTAATTTTATAATTTAGGAAACTGAGGCAGATAGAGGGTAAGCTACCTGCCAAGGTCACAAAACTAATAAGTGTCTGAGGTTAGATTTGAACTCAAGCCTTTCTGACTCCAGGCCTAGAGCTCTATCCACTATGCCCCCTAGATACTTGACAGGAATATCAATGAAAGTTTGAGGTAGAGTGCAGACCTTGTGCAAATCATCCTAGCTTTCTGATTACCTTTTCTTAAAATATTGTTCAGAGGTAAGTCAACTGCAAGTAAGTGCTGAAAATGCCAACTCTAACACCTATAGCAGTTACAAGTCTTGCAGGCATATAGCAATGGCAGGTTACCATATGTGTGCATGTATACGTTTATATGCATAAAATATGTATAAGCAAATGTCAAGGGTATTTAGATATATTAGCTTGCCTACATTACAGATATTTTATTAAATTACAGTCTACATTTAGAAACCTAACTAGTAATTAAATTACAACGTATGTTACAATGTTGCATAAATTAACATAGCAATGAGCAGCGTTTGGTTTTGCAGTTTAGCACTACTTTCAGTGAAGATCTTTTTAACAAAAATTATTATTTTGAAAGAATCACCAAGTGTTACTGCTGTAGAGAACTATGGACACCTTGGCTCTGTCACTTACTAAAGTCACTTTCTCAGTTTCTTTATTTGTATTATTTATTTGTATTTATTAAGGTCTCAATTTCCTTATTCGTATAATGAAAAGATCAAATTCAATCCAATAGCCATTTATTATCTATTGGCACCTACTATGTGCCAGGAATTGTGCCCTAAGAATACATCAATAAAAATTTTATAATTCCTTTCCTCAAAGAGCTTATATTCTACTGAGGTGGTTGTTCTAAATAATCTCTATAGTCTTTTATTGTTCTAACATCCTGATATTCTGTTACCTAGCTAGATCAACCTCATCCTTATTTCACAGGTGAGGAAACTAAGGTACAGAAAGGAGGAGTGACTTGCCTGAGATCAAATAAACCTGGGGACAGAATCATGACTAAAATATATGTTTCCTAACTCCCATTCCAATCAGCAGTGAGTGGAAGTTTGCAGTCAGAGGCTCAATGAAAAAGGTAAGGAAAAACTTCCTAACAAGTAATACTATTCCAAAGGAGAATAGGCTGGCTTAGTAGGTAACAACTCACCGATTCTCCCTAACTGGAGCTCTTCAAGAAAATATGAGATGATTATTTCTCAAGAATATGGTAGAGGTGATTCTTGTTCAGATATGGATTTGACTACATGGCCAATGAAGTCCCTTCCAACTCAGAAGTTCTGTAATTCTATGGTCTTTCTGCTAAAGGAGAAAGAGGAGAGGGAGAAGGAGGAGGAGGAGAAGGAGGAGGAGGAGGAGGAGGAGGAGAAGGAGAAGAAGAAGGAGGAGGAGGAGAAGAAGGAGGAGGAGGAAGAGAGAGAGAGAGAGAAGGGAGGAGGAAGAGGAATGATTAGAAGAGAAGAAATATTAATTATATCTAGTTTATATAGCATTTGAAGTTTGCAAAGTGCTTTACGTGTGCTTTCTCGTTTGATCCTGACAACAAACATGGGAATTAGGTGTTATTATCATTTCAATTTCACAGATGAGGAAACCGACATTAAGAGAGGTTAAATGGTTTGCCCAGAGTAACACAGCTAATAAAGGTGTAAGACAGTATTTGAACACAGATCTGCTTGACTCCAGGTCCAGCACTTTGTGCACTTCACCACACTACACTGCCAGTCTGCAGATAGAAAAGCTGAAGAGTAGAAAGGTAGCTCAGATCATGAGTGCCCAACAGATCATTATAGATGTGGTACAGGAAAAGACAATACTATAGCTCAGAACAGGCATTGGTATCCCAGGTTTCAACAGCTCTTTGTTCTCTCACCGCTCTGCATTTATTTCCTGGATACAGTCACATAAAACATTCATCATCCATTTGCCAAAAACAGACACACCAACACACACAAACCCACATGAAAATTTGGTGGCCAGATGAAGACCAAGGACTGATTAAAAAGTGGGGGGGGGAGTGGAGAGGGAGAGAAGAAGAGTAAAAGGAGAGCAAAGGACCACACAGTCAGGAGACAATTGCAGCTGGTCTAAGAGCTCTGCCAAGCCTAAGGATGTGAAGCTCACAGGACACTATTAACTTGAATCCATCTCTAGAGACTGAGACATTCCTACAAGCTAATCGTATTCCACATGTGAAGTATCATGTGCCTAACTCCTTTTGAATATGAACTCCTATAAGAACAGCTAGTATTTGTATAGTACATTGTTTTGCAAAGCACTTTATATAGGTTATCTTATATGATCCTAACAACTCTAGGAGGTAGGAGCTATTATTATCTCCATTTTACAGATAAGGAAACTGAAGTTAAGTGATTTGCCCAGCTTCATCCAGCTAGAAAGTATCTGGGGCAAAATTCAAACTCAAATCTTCTTCATTCTGAATCCAACCTTCTAAAGCATTTTATAGAATTGTGCAGTAATATGGCTCATTCTAGTGATGACATCCATACCTTTAAAAGATTTAACAATGCACTGGTCCTGGAATATTTCCTCTCCACCAGTGCAAATCATCCCATAATTCAGGACCAGCCTCAAGACCCAATCACTCCATAAAGCCCTCCTAGCTAGTCCAGCTCATAATGATGTCTCCCTTCTCTGAATTCCTTCAGTGTCTGTATTTTGAACCACATAATCAAGCACTTGTGTATAATGTCCTGTATTATCATTTAATTGATATATCTTCCTTGCAAGATTTTGAACTCATCAAAGATGGAGTCTCTGTTTCACTCTTCTTTCAGACTTCCCATAGTGCCTAGCATAATGCTAGGCATACCAGTAAGTACTCATTGAATGATGCTGTGACTAACTAATTTTACAAAGCTGTTTTCAGCCCCTTCATTTTCATCATTCCTCCTTGGACATTGAGCTGTATTCTGTATTGTTCCATACATGCTGGAAGGTATCACACAGAATATGGCACTCTTATAGTTCACAAGGGGAGAATCTTCAAGTAAAGAATCCAAAGGAATGCTTTCTGATAATTTTAACACAGGCTGAATCATAGAAACATAGGATTTCAGGACTCCAAAGGACTTTGAGATACTTTAGACCAACCCCCTGCCTCCAGAAGCATGATTATCCTTGGAAAGAAGATTCCTGGAAAACATGCATATTTTATATAGTCACAAAAGTATTGCAAGCACTTACATCTATATAAAAGAACAACCAAAGCATTGAGAAGTTCTTCCAAGATTAACTTTGTGCCCAGAGAAGTTTTTTGTTGTTAAAGTTCTTGTCATTGACCAACTTGACAAAACTTAATGAAGGCTGCTTACCTGCAGAGTTTGAAGTCACAGAGCTCTGTACTCTTAATTACTGCATTTCCATTTTCCAATATCAGATTAAAAGTATTTTTCAAATCAAAAGAATACCTACAACAATAAAATTACAAGTCCTTTGAAATATAATTGTCTTAAAATTAGCAGAAACATAAGGACAGCTAGGTGGTACGTAGAGGGAGCTCTGGCCTTGGAGTTAGGAGGACCTGAATTCAAATGTAGCTTCAGACACTTGAAACTTACTAGCTGTGTGACCCTGGGCAAGTCACTTAATCCTGATTGCATCATCAAAAAAAAAAGTAGCATAAATAATGGAAAGTGGATTTTTTTTTCATTATTTAATTTAATCAGTTCTGTACTGCAAGCCCTACCCAGTTTTATTTTTTAACAACAAACCTGAAGGCAGATCCATAGTACTGATACAGCTAAGTTTTCCACTCAGTATAAGAAAAGTAGTCTCAGTCAGTTAGCCAGTTAGTCAATAAGCATTGATTAATTGCTTACTATGTGTCAGGCACTGTGCTAAGTGTTGGATATACTAAAACAGACCTCAAAAATCCTGACCTCAAAAAGTTAACGTTCTAATGGAGGAAAACAACACATAAAAGGAAGCTAAAAAGGTGAGGAGGAAAGAGGGCCACAGAAATTATCCTGTCAGTGACATCCTATAAGGTGTTTGTAAAAATCCAGAATGAGGCTTTATAAATAACATTTAATAAATGTTTATTTTTTCTATTATCATATTCCTGTAGTGCAAAGATACAAGACATTGTGTATCCTTTGACCCAGTAATACCACTACTAGATCTGTACCCCAAAGAGATCAAAAAAAAGGAAAAGGACCTAAAATGTATGAAAATATTTATAGCAGCTCTTTTTGTGGTGGCAAAGGATTGAAAATTGAGGAAATGCCCATCAAGTGAGGAATGGCTAAACAAACTGTGGTATATGATTGTGATGAAATAATATTGTGCTATTAAAAATGACAAGCAGGATGCTTTCAGGAAAACCTGGGAAGACCTATATGAACTGACATGAAGTGAAGTGAGCAGAACCAGGAGAACATCATACACAGTAATAGCAATATCATAGAATGATTAATAGTGAGTGACTTAGCTATTCTCAGCAATGGTCCAAAACAATTCTGAAGGAATTATGATGACAGATGCTATCTACCTCCAGGGAAAGTACTGATGGAGTCTGAATGAAGATCAAAATATACTCTTTTAACTTTATTTTTGGGGCTTTTTTTTGGGTCTGTTTTGCAACATACCTAATATGGAAATGTGTTTTATATGACTGTACATGCATAATCTCTATCAAATTGTTTGCCTTCTCAAGGAAGGGAGAGAGGAAAGAGAGAGGGAGAGAATTTTTGGAACTCAAAATTTTAAAAAACAAATGTTAAAAATTGCTTTTGTATGTAATTGGGGAAAAATATATAAAACTTCAACAAAATGGGGGGGAAAGAATAGGCCTTGAAAGCAGGAAAAGTAAGTGATTTCTCAAATGGCATGATTTGGTGAATCATTGCCCAGATGATTTGGTGAGTATTGCCCAGAACCACATACAAAAATCTCTCCTCTCCCACTTACCCTAATGCTTGAAATTCCACCCTTAAAGATACATTGCTTTGACGTATGGAGTCTTTTTTGCAATATGTAGTCTTTTGAATCATGTAGAGCCCCCTAATAAAAATTAGAATGCTTCTTTGTAGAGTAGCAGGAATTTAAGATTAGTTAATAGCAATTGAGAGAAAAGTCTTAGGAATATAGAATGAGAAAGACATATGGGGAAGTAAGAAGAAAGAGCGGAGACACTCTAGTATAAAAGAAAAAGCTATACATTTGAAGTCAGAGGATGTAGATCTCTTCACCGATACATACTATGAGTGACCGTAAGTGAGTCACCAATCTCTTTGTGCCTCAGTTCTCTCATCTATAAAATGAGGAAGTTAGAAGAAGTAAGCCCTATAGTCTCTTCTAACTCTTAATCTGTGAATCTATGGTGCCAAGAATGGACATTAAATGCAACCACAACGATGGAAAGAACTATTAAAAAAAAACTGCAGGATTTAGATTTTGATCAATGCCTTATACCATGTATCACAATAAGCTCCAAGTGACCACTTGATCTAAATATTAAAGGTCACATCTTTTAAAAATTAGAAAGTAGAGGATATCATGCACAACTATGTCTAGGATGATAATTCCTAACTAAACAAGGCATAAAAGTGATTATAAAAAAATAAAATAGACAATTTTGATGGCATAAAATTTAAAAGCTTTTTGGATAAAAAAAAATCTATGTAGCTAGAATATAAAGAAAAGTGATTGATTGGGGGAAATCTCTGTAGTATATATCTATGATACAGGTCTGATATTCAAGACACACAAGGAATTGAAATACATACATAGAACCAGAACCATCATTCCCCGATAGTTTAGTTGTTAAAGGGTATAAATGGACATTTTTCAAAAGAAGAAATACAAACTTTTAATAACTATATAAACAAATTATTTAAATTACAAATAAGGATATTTAAAGTAAAACAAGTCTGCGATTGTATTTCACACTCATCAGATAGGCAAAGATGATAAAAGATGAAAATGGTCAATTTTTTATGGGCTACGAGAAGACAGACATATTAATGTCCTATTGGTGCAACTGTGAATTAGTCTAACCATTATTGAGAACAATCTGTAATTATACCATATAAGTGTTGTGTCACTTTGACTTCA